GCTTGTTCAAATTCATTTTTTTGTTCTAATTCATTGGCTTGTTCAAATTCATTTGCTTGTTCGATTTCATTTGATTGTTTATTATGTTTGTTAGAAATAGATTTCTTTTTGTCTAGAAGTATATATACTAAAGTTAATTTGTATATTCCGATATATATAATAATAATAAATAATAGCAAAAAAACTTAACTTGAATTTTTTAATGCAGATATTTTGTTATTAGAAAATAATTTTTTAGTTGCTCTTGCTGGTAAAGCCTTTTTTTGAGTATTATTAGATTGTAATTTTTTTTGTCGCATTTTGTAAAAAAAAAATAATTTAAAAATAATTGGTTTGAATTATTTATATAATTATTTCATCATAACATACATAATACTGATTATAAATTGAACTATGATTTAAACTACAATTCAATATAGTCTGATAGTTTAATCACAGATTAATCATAAAATTTTTCAGAAAGATTTGCTTTTATAATTGCAATTACAATTACGATTGCAATTGTAATTGTAAAGCTGGAGCCTTATAAGCACAATCAAAATTATTATTATTATTACAAAAAATTAATAGTCGTAATTCTACAAAATACTTATAGTGATATTTTTTTTTAAAAATGACAAAACTTAATCGAAAAAGAAAATCTACTCAAAATTTGCCAAATCGTCGAACTAGACAGCAAAAATCTTTTAATACTTTATTACATGTGTCAGAAAAAAGTAACATATTTTAAAATTATTAATAATAAACATTTACATATATATAATTATTTAATAATAATTTTTCTTACAAAAAATTAGACGAAGAATTATATACTAATAATTTTTCTTAAGAAAAATCAGATGAAGAATTATATACAGTAATAATAATTTTTCTCAAGAAAACTTTGATAAAGAATTATATAATTCTTTTCAAGCTGATAAACTAAATAATAATAATTTTTTTCAAGAAGAATCAAACAAATATATAATTTCTCTCAAGAAGAATCAGATGAACACTTATATAATTTCTCTCAAGAAGAATCAGATGAATACTTATATAATAATTTTTTTCAAGAATCAGATGAATTATATAATAATTCTTCAGATACTTCAGCAAATTTTAAAAATATTGCTGATGAAGCTAATAATTCATTTGAAGGATATAATAGCGATTATGGTCCTTATTTTCCAAATTTTACATCAGCTATGTTTTTTATATAGATAACGAAGCATATGATATATAAGTAATTTAATTTATATAAATTGTATATAATATTATTAAATAAAATAAGCTTACATATATTACTTTATTTATAGCAACTTTAGCATATAATGACTTAATAAAAACACTTCAACATCCACAATTTAATATTGCTGACATTGTAACAAATATAAGATCTTTACAAAAATGGAGAACAAATTTACCATTATTAAAAGTTTATAATAATAATATTCAAATTTCAACAAAACATACACCTTCAACTTCTTTACAATATAAAAATGCATTTACTATATCACTATATGATACTTTAGAACAAATACTTAATAATCCAAAACTTTTTTCTAAAATGTATTTTGGAAGTAGTATAGAATCTAAAGAAAACAAAAAATTTTGGCATGGAGAAATTTGGAAAGAATCACCTTTATTTGGAACAAGTAAATTAAATATTAATAGAGATTGTATAATATTTTATTGTAAGCATAAATTATATTATCTAAACTTATACTAACTTAAATATTAAATAGTGATTTATAATTCTAGTGATTGTATACTTTGCCAAGAAATTAGTCATAATAATACTAAAAAATATATTGCACGTATTCATTCAATTGTTTTAATGAAAAATAAACTTTGCTTAAAAGTAGATAAATTGCCTTCATTTGATCAAATTCCTAAACATTTACAAAGTATGCAACGAAG